GCAGCCGCGTCTCTGTGGCGCAATCGGTTAGCGCGTTCGGCTGTTAACCGAAAGGTTGGTGGTTCGAGCCCACCCAGGGACGAGTGCACTTTTGCTTCCCTGCCTGCCTTCTCTACCGCGAGGCCTTTTTTCCCCCCCGCGCTTTTTAAAGGCGAGGCTGTGCGCAGCGCGGTGCAGCTCCTGGCGGGTGCTCTGAGCCCGGTGGAGTGCGCGGCCCCTTTAAGCCCTGTGCGGAAGGGCGGGAGGAAATGAGCTGTGCCTCACGCACCAAGTAACCAATCAGCCTCGGAGATACAGACATCAGCGCTGACGGAGAAACAAAGGCAAGCTGGTTTCCGTAGTGTAGTGGTTATCACGTTCGCCTAACATGAGAAAGGTCCCCGGTTTGAAACCGGGTGGAAACACGCGGTGCTGTTCTTTTCTGTGCGACTCCCTTTTGGGCACGCGGCGAGGAGGAGGGAGCGTGCAGCCGCCTGCGGTGGCTTCTGTGACCTTTCGCTCCGTCTGCGTGTCATTCAGGGCGGAGACGCGCACAGCCTGACACCAAGGTGCTGCCCCACAGCTGGTGGCCAAGCACTGCCGCCCGCCGCGCACCCCCGTGCGCTGCAGTGAAATCCTTCATGTGCAAGGTCCCGTGAGCCCACACCCGGAGGCAGTTCAGTGCTGACCCCTCAGCAAGGTGGAGCCTCGATGCAGGCTATAGTAACCTGACAGGGCTGTAACTAGCTTGCTTGGTTTCCATAAGGACAGATGACCTTCTCCATGTATGACCTCAGGTAAGAAGACACAGCTGAGGAAAAGCTCCAGCCCGCGCGGGATCTTTTCAGAGAAGCCTCCTGAGCTTTGGGCCCTTTTCAACCACGAGACTAAGCTCTATCAGCCCAACCCCAGGCCATGAAGGTGCCCCCCCCCCCACAAAAACAAAAACAACAAACAAAAAACTTGAGAGAAAGACCCTGGAGCACTTCCTCTACCTTCTGGCTACCTCTCTCAAAGAGTTAACACTGTTGAGGAGATTCAGTGCACAAGCACCTCTTTTGGGAAATTGCTTCAGCATGGCTTTACAGTTTCCAGAAAGACACCACAATACCAAAATCCAGGTCTACAATGCAGTCATCATCCTCACTCTCCTCCACAGATGTGAAAATGGGTTACCTATCATCATCATCATCATCACAAGAACCTGGAGAGGTACCATTAAAGATGCCTCCAGAAAATCCTCCACATCAAATGGGAAGATTGCTACACAAACACCAGCATCCTTGCGGAAAACAATGTTACCAGTATTGAGTCAATGATCCCCAAGCACAACCTTCACCGGACTGGACATTGTGTGCAGATGTCTGACTCTTGACTCCCAAAACAAGCTCTACTCCAAGTTTAGTAATGGCCTGAGATCTCGCAGTGGCCGGAGGAAATGCTATAGGAACACACTGAAGACATGAGGGATTGCCAATGATCACAACTGTTCCTTATAGTTTTTACATGTCTTTTTATATGTTTGAGACTGAAAGAGCAGAGCACATGCTTTCAAAACCACATGAAGCTACAGTCTGTGTCTGGGATTTTTTTTCCACGATTCTCTAGAGTTAGTCCATTAGACCAGTGGTGCTCAACCTCCAGCCCATAAGCCAAATCCGGCCCCCTGAGGCCAAGCCATCTGGCGCAAGCCCGGCCACCAAACCTGTAGACCAATGGGAAGTCCTGTGGCCAAGATGACATGGCATCATGTGCTGGGTCAGTCCACAACTTGATCTGGTGTGTGACGCCAGGTTGGCATACTGGATGGCACCTGGATCTGGCTTGGTGCCACTCATCCAGCCTTCAGATCTGCAAGGCTGAGCACTACTATATAACAAAATGGGCTAGAAATTTCAACTGTAATAAGCACGGATCCTGGTTTACTCTGATAAAAAAAATCCCCAATTTTCGGATTACAAAAAGTAACCCAAAAATCTACATTTTTCTGTCATTAGACATATATCTGAATGCCACTATATATGCCACTATATATACACACACATATATATAGTAGCATTTAATTTTAATCACGGCAAAATGTGGGTTTTGGATTACTTTTTGTAATCCGAAAATTAGGGATTTTTTGTTTTTATCAGAAAAAATCAGGATCTCTGGTAATGAGGGAGCCTGATGTACAGGGTAATATGTGTCATAGATACATTATGAAAGTAGATACTTGTATTTTTTTTTATTTGCCTTGTTCCCTGGTGGTCTAAGCTCAAATCTTAGCTCTTATCTAGGAAGATAATCTTCAGAAGTAGAAATGAGCATGAACTGAAGTGATGATAATCTGAGTTACCTGGCAGTTTGGACAAAAGCCAAGTTTAACTCCAGTTTGGAGTTAAAAGCTGCACAATTGGCAACAATGGCCTTTGACTCTGAAGGCTAATGATGACACTTTCACTGTCACCATAGACTATTGCAGTACTGATTCTCTTAACAGATATTCACCTGATTAACCCAAGCACTGTGTGGTGTAGCAGTTGATACTGAATTTGGGAACAAAGGGAAAGGTAATTGCTGTTAAGACATGATGATGGGAAACCAAGAATTAAAAACTCTGGCCACAAAGTTGGTCTATAGTCAGAAGAGGCATCCTATACCAAGAACTCCAGTTGCTTACATGATACCAGAACCACACCTTTCATTCACTCTATCTGCTCCTTTTCAACCAAGTATCACAAGTATCCAACTGTCCCCCCAGAAGCTTCCCAACAAATATAATTTAACATGGAAATCATACAGAAGGGGAAATTACTGTGCTGAACTGTAAAGGTGCAGTTAGGGAGAGTTAATATATATAGAATTACTAACCCAAATATTGAGAGCATAATGCTCCCAATTGCATAATTACCAGCTTTTCTAACAAAATCTCTACAATCCTGTGCTTTACCAAAGTACTACCAGGGCTTGCCATTGGCTAGTACATATATGCACTTTGGCTCCTGTCGTGGAAACACACGCAGCATACTTTTGGGTCAGGTCAGCAGAAGCTTTTATTCAAATGAAACTACAGCTGTAGGGGGGACTCCAAAGTGACATGGATTTCCCAAGCACTTGGAAGGGGTTTCCCCCCCAAGAGCAAAATCAGGAGGCTTGTATACTTTTTAACAGTCACTTACAACTCACGTGATCATATAGTGGAGTTTGCTAGAAAAAGCAGCTACAAACACTAGCTTATTACTGCTTGGCTGTTATCAGGATGGGAATTATGGGGGAGACAAGGTTAGTTCACAAAGCAAGAAATAACACTCCCTTCTTGCACCTGGAAATCAGTTGTACATACTTTTTTTCTGCTATCTTCAAGGCCACGGTGAGTGAAGCAGTTGCAGAGGAGTTACAAAGAACAAACACGTTCCCTTATCTGTTCTACTATACAGAGCCAGCAATTCCCCACAAAGCGGTTATGTCATCTTATAACTCGTATGATCAAAGTTTAAGGCATTTATTTTTTTTCTGATTCCACACTCCTTCCCCCATTCTTCTTAGACGTTAAGTTGGAAATGGATACTCGTCTCTCTCAAAACCCCACTATGGCAAGGACAAGCAACTTTTCAAGCAGCAGGCTACAACAGCCTGGTTCTAGTCTAGTGTGAATTGGATGGCTTTGACAGTGTCAACAGGGAAGGTGATTTTTTCTGCACCTGTGCTGGGACCAGACAGATACACCAACATCCCCAGCACTTTTTCCAGCCCTCTGCTCCTTGGCTGGAGCATAAGCACAGCTGAAAGGTGTGTTTGCACTGTGGCTGTGTCTCCCCTGTCCCTTCCCCAGCTGCAGTATCTGGCGTCTCACTGCATTTAATCTTTTATGAAAGAACACAGATGCCTCCTTCAGTAACCTTAGAATCTTATTGACCATATCTTCTCTTTCCTTTTCTGTGTGTTGACTTTTATCTCTAAACTTGGATTGCAACTTCTTGCAACGAGGAAACCCATTCTTAAAACACCTTGTATGCTTATGGAGCTGTATTGGTAACTCCCTGAGCTTTTCGGGGCACAAGCAATTGCCTATGGAAGCAAGAATTAAGATACTTATCCAGCAAAACAAAGACTGATAGAGGATACAAATTCTTTCTTTCAAGGTATGAGTGAGATTAACTAGGTGGGAGAAGAGCTATTAAACTAATAAAACAATGCTGGCACTGGCAAAGAACACATGGGTATAAGACCCAGCCATGCATAAACTGAGGCTGGAAAATCAGGTTTCTAGCCACTAACTCAGTGAGGCTCTAAAAGAGCCTTCCCTTTTTTTCTTTCCAACCCAAATACTCCCAAGTAGCTTTAAAATGGAACCTAATTAGTTTATAAAAGAGATTACATGTGGTTGCTTGTGACTGCAGGAACTGGATTTCATGATCTAGAAGGTCCCTCCTAGTCTGTGTCACCTGTGAAAGCTTATGTCTCTCTAAACTTATTAGTCCCCAAGGTGCTACCCTGCCATGCCTTTTGCCCAAATGTTGGGGTTTGGGTAATATCAGAATTGGAGCACAGTCCCTTCACAAATGCACAAAACCTGGTGTTTTTTAAATGTACATTAATTCTT